CCTCCCCCCCCAGCCTCCAAGACAGAAAAATAACAGAGCCGCTGTTTGGTGGCGGAGGAGCGGGCCAAGCCTCCTGCTGCATCCCGCTCCTGCGGCCCAGGGGAGGATGCCTAGGGTGGCACCCCCAGGCCTCTCGCAGGCTGGTTGCGTGCGGGCCCTGCTGCAGTCAGTTGGGGTCCGCGCGCCCGCGTGGAAACCTGCCGCAGGATAAGATCCCCCAAACCCATGTGCTTCCTCCAGATCTTTGTACCAGGCCGGAGGAGCAAGTGCAGGTTTGTTGCAGATAATCACCAGAATAGCTTTTTTTTTCTTTTTTTTTTTTCTCCCCCCTTCTGGCAAGAGGCCATAGGGAATAAAAAAAAACCAAACCAAAAAAACTTCCTTCTGGCAATAGGGGGGGAAAAAAACACAAACTTTGACAACTCTTCCAGTAAATGGTTAACTAAATAAGATCTATATCATTTTTGTATAGGCTGTCTCGCATCTTATTTGAATAGGAGTCATTAAGAAAAATCTGATTTGGCTAGTCTATAAAGGTGCAGATCTGACTCACTTCAGATGAACGCAGCTAACTACTTCCTAGGAAAGGCGAGTCACAAACTCCTGTCTCTTGAATAGGATGGGGAAAAAAATCAAAATCTTTTTTTCTTTTAAAAAAGAAAGCTTCGACTCGCAGAATGAGTGGAGGTATTTTTGCAGTGTGAAGCAGTCATTATTTTTACCGCAGCAGCTCAAAAAAACAAAAAAAAAAGGAGCTTAGCTGAAGTATCAAGCCTACTTTTACGCAGAACAATTAAAACTTTTGCAAGTTAGGAAGATGTGAAAACAAAGTCTTGCCATTGTGGATGTATGTGTTGGTTATTACCAGCAAAATCATTCCAAGATAAAAATGACTAATATTTCATATTGCCTTCCATTTTTTCCTTTGCTACCTCAGAAATAAGAAGCACGAGTTAGTTTACTTTTTGGCAGGAAAGGAAAGGAAATACTCTTCAAAGCTCGATACCTTGGCTTTAACGGACACTGTTGCAAGTCCAGCCTGCCAGTGTCAGGAAACTCTTCTACTATGACCAACATCCTACGCACAGACATTTATAGATGTGTGTAATGAGTCACACCTGAAGTCTCCCTCAAAGTTTTAAGTAGTGTTTTTAATTGAGGGTAGAGACAGAGGTGGGGTCCCGGCTTTCTTTTAACTGACTGACAGCATTTAAAGCTTTTCTCTTTTTAACAGTGTGTGTGTTGGGGAGAAGGGGAAGGAGTAGTAAGAGAGACTACACATCTCCTATCATCTTTCTGTTTATTTAGAAATCACTTTATGTCAGCATTTTATACAGGATCAGTTGACTTCTGCATTAACACTAAGCAAAAGAAGAGAGCCAGCAGTGTGCGTATTTAGGTGGAAAAGGAACACTGATTTCCATTAGGTTTTAAAAGTAAATCACATTCAAAACCTTTATGAGGGAGTTTCATTTGCTATTGTTTTTGTATTACTGCCTTTGTTTGACTTGAGCTACTAACCGTATGCTAATATGGTGGCACATGATTGGGTAGCATCTGTCATTGCTGTTAGCCCTTTGCATCAGCTCCTTCTTGCTGCAATGCCTTCTTTTTATGAAGCCAGTCAAAAAGCTCAAACCTGAGGGCCCATGATCTGATTCTGGTTTTCTGAATAGGTCATGTTTGGTTGTAGGGTCTGCACATACATTTTCTACATAAGACCACTGTTTAGAGATTTTGAAGCAAGACATTCATTCCTGATTTGATATAATTTTAATAGGTGGATTTAATTATTATCACCACCACCATCATAATCATTAATATCGATAATTCTCTCCCTCAGACTACATGATTACAGATGCCTATTATATGACCAGTTAATTGCAGATATACTTAATTGCACTACTTACTTGTTTAGTCTTGTACTTACCTTCTTAGAAGTCTGGGGTCTTAATACTTTTTCTTTATTTAAAATATGGATTGAAAATGTTAATTGAAATGCACATTAGTCTATGAGTTTTTAGTCCCAATTTTGCAGTGAGATGTGTGATCTATTAAGTCTGTGTGCTCAGCTGCAGAATTGTAGGCTTCTTTTTTTTTTTTTTTTTTTTACTGGCAGGAAAAAGCAAGAACAGTTTTTAAAAGACATCAATTAACAATGAAGACTAAATACATATAGGTAGGTAGAATGGAGCCCTTGCAAGATTTAAATATGTTGCAGTCCACATGATTTACATTTGAGACTCCACTTTGTGTGAATTTGATATTTAAATATTGTAAGGCAATCCTGATACAATGTGGTTTAGGAATTTGATGATCATGTAGAACAACTACTTATATTGTGTAGGACATTGTTTGCCCCTTCCTTAGATATGAAACCAATTAGCCTTACTGAGGTACATAGTATATAAAATGCTACAGTTTTGGGAAGGGGTTCCCTAACTGGTATGTGTACCCCTTGGGGGTACACAAGACATCTGTGGGAGGTACATAGGAGAAATTGTGTAATGGCAGATTTAATTTTCATACTTGGCATTTCAGGGGTTAAAATATAAAACATGCTGGTAGGGCAGGGGCAGGCAATTATTTTGGGCGGAGGGCCACTTACTGAGTTTTGGCAAGTCATTGAGGGCTGCATGACAGGCAGCTGGGGCAGATAAATATTAATTCCCTAAATTTTTTAGGGGCCCTGTGGGCTGGATAGAGTGGCTTGGCGGACCACATATGGCCCGCAGGCGGCATTTTGCCCACGCCTATTGTAGGGGCACGCAGGCAGCTGGTAAATCTAGAAGGGAGGGTATGCAATAAGAAAAAGTTTGGCAACCTCTGTTTTAGGGCATTTATTCAAAATCTGAGTGAGGTAGAGGGAGTGCTTTGTAAATGCTATACTGTATAACAGGTTTTAAGATTGTTTAGTCTCCAGAAAAAAGTTGTGGGGGAGGTTGCTTTTTTGTTCATGTTGGAAACAATGTTAAAATGTTTTATTGCTACCTTGTAGTGAAGATGTGGAGGGATCTGATCTTATCATTTTTGCCTCCAACATTCTGTCTTTTTTTTGTGGGAAAGTAGCTGAAACAACTGGTTCAACATTAGGATTTA